CGACGTCACAGTGACTGTGGTCATCTAGCGGGCACTGCATGGGACTCACATGCGTATCTTTGTTCCACAAATATCGTATAGTACATGAAGAGGATTGTCAAAGCTAGGGTGCCTTTATTTGTGCATCGCTTAGGGTGATGCATAGTTATTACAATGTACGCTAGAGGTTCAATTGGCGCTAGTGTTTATGCGACTTCCGGGATGCAAATTGAAGCAGACAGCAATCAGTCTACTTTTGCGGTGTTCCTGTGCATTTCTATGAAAAATCGCTTGTGCATTTTCTCTCTTCGCCTGAAAACAGTAACATGAATCTTTTTTTTTTTTTTTTTTTTTTGGGGGGGGGGGGGGGGGGGGTTGTACCCAATAATATGTACCTTTATTATCATCGGAAAAGCGTAGTTGCTTTAGTTACAGTATTTGTCTTCATCAATGAACGATGTTAAACGTCTCTATATTAAAGGCTCAAGTTTCTGGTCAGTAGCAGGTGTGTAAAAAGGAGCCAAGATTCTAAGAAAAATAACAATCGAAAGGATTATAGAGCCGGTTGAAGGTTCACCAGCATACCGGTAACTCTTACATATTGCTAATATGCCAGTCCTGTCACAATATTGAAATGACCCCGTCGCGCGTGCATCTTTATGAGCGGTTAAAAACATTAAAACGTCAAGAATAAAGTACGTGGGTTATGAAATGGATCTCTTTTTTTTATTTCTTATGCCGGGCAGCTTTTATCGGGAACCTGTTTTCTGGCTTCTCCATATTTTCAAACATTTAGAGCGTGCAGAGGGTCATGTTCTAAACGCAGAACAAGCATCGTCATGCAGATGCACGAACATAGGAAATAAAGCAAGACTTTTTTACTGCAAATCGGACAATATTACTTGGCCCTCACTATATTTTGATCGTCTAGATGCACAGAAAGCTACTGGTCCAGCGTTACAGAGTAGTTTTTGCCGTCTTTCTTTGTTTTCCACATATCCTTTGTTCGTTTGGCACGTAAATATTCCATGCAGAAGTGCACAGACGCCGTGTTCACACTAACAGTGCCCGACAGTGCACATAGATACATATATGAAGCTTTTCTAGCACTTTGTATAATGCCATAAATTTGAGGGGAAAAAACACTGTAATTGACCAATATTTTTATTTATGTGATTGGAAAATGTTCAAAGCTATTTAATGCTCTAGAGTTATTCGTAATATTTGATATTATAATCGAGCGCAGAGAAAAAATGCACCCGCTTTTCCCAGTGGAAAGGCATTACCGGAAGTCAATTTTCGACTGGTTGCTGTCTGCTTCAATTTGCAACAGCACACTAGCGCCAGCTGAACAACTGGCGTACATTATAACAACTCTATGGGGTTACCATTTGTTCCGAATGCTTTTTTTCTTGTTTCGAAGCATGTGAAATCTCACAAACTCTGAGAATTGGAAGTGATATGGAGGTATTTTGTTACCGGCTATTTATTTGTACTTTTCTCGCATATGCAGGCGATGTCCCATACTTGCGTAAACTCATGAAATACGTGACCAGTGCAATGGAGCGCCCTGGAAGCTTTTGTGAGGCCACTGGCGCCTCAGTCAACCTGGAAAAGTGTCGAGGGTTTTCGCACGGAGCTTGAGCGACGAAGCCCGGGCAATATAAAAGCAAAGAGTGGAGCTGCACTCCTTGCGATCCCCTGGGGGTACCCCCGAAGCACTTCCGATAGCGCACGTCCTTCTGTCCGGAGTTGGTACTGACTTCGAACAACGAGCCGATAACTGGTCTCACGGAGCTTTGTCAGTGTCAGCACGTTCGACCGTCTGCCATCTGTGTTTGCGTTTTGCGGCCAAAATATGCTGTATGTCCTTCAAGTATAGCACTATACTCGGACAAGTATTCAAAAATTGCACAGGGTTTTTTGCCGTTTTAGTACGGAAGTCCACTTGAAAGCCCACGCGTCGCGACAATTTGTTTCGTCGTGTATCATATGGTGGACTAGGCCTTCCTCATTTATTTATACGCCAATTGGTTTCTCATTTTCGTTTCCTAAGAAATCGAGTGTATCCTTTTTTTTCGCAAAGTCATTCAGAACAGACTGGCACGCTCTCTATCTAACTTTCTCGTATCCACTGTGGAAGACCAAACTTGCGCGATAGTAGGATATCTTAAAGAGCTAGCGGATGATTTTTACTTTTTTTAGTAATGTTCTAAAAAAGAATATTTAAGGACTTTTGCGCGTAAAAAGCTGACAAAGAGATCGAGCGAGTGTCCTCCTTCCAATGCCAGTTTGCCACTGAGTGTTCAGCGCGCGACATTTCCCAACGCGATGAGCAGCGTCGGATAAATATGTCCATTCGGCGGGACCAAGCACAAAGGGCCCCTATACTCCGTTTCACTTTAAGCCCTCGCCTCCAGCCGACAAATCGATGGAACCAATCAAGCCGCGACAAAAAGTGCATCGTCACGGTGCTCAATGCTTTTTTCCATGCGGAGTCCAAGTTCGTCTGCTTCTTTTGCAGGGGGGGGGGGGGGGGAAATATTTCGTGCAAACGAAATATTTGCACCTACTTTTTTCCTTAGATGTATTCTATGTGGCGCCTGCAGCCAATGATCACTAGTCTAGGCTAGCGCTTCTGGGCTGCCGGCAGAAAAGTCGAGACAACTCATTTTTAAAACAAATTAATATATTTCGAAATTGCGCCTCGTGACGCATTCTGTCAGGCTCCGCTGGAATGTCGTTACGTCATGAACATTAAACATAAATTAGGGTGAGGGAGCTAAATCAATTAAAAATAGTACAGATCTATCGGTACCGCCACGTTGCCAATCCGCGGCAATTATTATTATGTTTTTTTTTTTTTTTCCGACGATAGGTAGAATTTTGATTTGAGGATGCGGGGACCTGCCAAGCCAACCGCATCACTCCAACCCCCCAGGATACGCGCTGTGAATAAGGCGTCCAAACATGGCACCCGATGAATACCTTATATACAGAACTCGCAGGTTTTGCCACTGCTGCGTATTCACGGTTATTTCTACTTGCTGATTCCCTCGAGCAACTACTTGTACGGTCTGGAACTAACACGTTGAACCGAACGCTCGCGGAACGTAAAGTACCGGCATGGCGGCGAATGACGTTACGTACAAGCTATGTGATCTAGAAACAATGGGTGTCGTCTTACACCCTTTTGTTCCATATAATGCACCGCATAACATCAGTTCGACCTAGAGCGCACTCATGTCGACCAGACAGCCCCAACTTTTAGAAGGGGCTTGATAGCGGCGCGATATAATTTATTTAACAGCTAAAATACGTATCATTGACTGCAGAAAAAAAAAAAAAAAAACATTAAGGTTTTTTAGTAGAGCCAAGAAAACCCGATTATTATTTTTTTTTGTAGGCAGTGACACGTACATTATTTAATTTAATAAGTTGAACCGCTAGGCTATCAAGCCGCTCGTGAAAGTTTGTACCGTCTGTTCACCGTCAGTTCGCTGTACGTCGAACTGAAGCTTTGGGTGTCCTGTATGAGACAACGGGCGAAAGAATATACACTTTCCTTCTAAGAGTGTAGCCTATAAGGCGTACAGTCCTCGAATGTTACTACTAGGTGAGATTGTCACGCGTTTACGCTCCCAAGCGGCAAAACTCGCAACTGCAGTACCCTTGACCACCGTGCATGAACTATTGGCGTCACAAGCGTCATACGTACGCCTTTCGCTCCTCACTGGCCGCCTTTGAAGCGAGGGGTAGAGAGCTCGCGCTCACGTCATTTCATTTCCGTACCCCTTTGAGACAGTAAAATAATTGGTCTTGGTAAGCTAAGACTGCACCCTAAGCTACAAGCGCAATATGGGCCTCGAGACCCAGATTGAATTGTGTGGAAGGGTAGTTTTGCTTATCCATGGTTCTCTATGAGCCACGTGGTAATTCCATCTGTCCACAATGCGGGTGGAGACAAAGCATCCACACCAGGCACGTAGCCAGGATTCTGTTTTTTTCTTTTTTTTTTTGGGGGGGGGGGGGCGCCCATGACAAAATGCTGTGTGAGGGGGAGGGGGGAGAGGAGGCCCAATTCCCCCCTCTGGCTACGTGCCTGATCCACACTAACAGCACGGGTAAAGGGCACGTGTACAGAGCACGCGCTCTTAGCAGTTGATTCCAGTGCGCGAGCACTGCAATGGCACCTCCCGTGGCTTCGGCCTCGCGTGTGCAGCATTCGTCTTGCTCCAAGTAAGTGTAAAACCAAGCGTATAGTTCTCCTTTTAACTACATGACCCGTGTCGATCGAATCTCGAGGCGAATAATCCGCTATCCTGCAGCTTTGAGACTTGTTTTTCTTGCAAGAACGCTCATACTGCGGAAGAACTTTTCAAAGTCACGATCTCGCGCTCGGGCTCTTGTAGCATTTATTGGCTGCAGTCTCAACTTACAGGAGAAGCGAGTGTACACGGGGTCCAGTTTATTCCGTACACCCATTAGCTGACAGCGAGGTGGGGGCTACGTGCTCGCCGGACCAGTTAACCGCTCCCCTTTCATCACCTGGCAACCCACTTTCTGCGCGGGGGTATGGGCGGGAGGGCGATGACGCGGCGAAACAGTCGTTTGACTGGTCGAACGACCCCGTAGCTTCCGCTGCACTGTGATCTTAGGGGTAAACGGAGCATGCTCCATCTCACAAACATCTGCAGTGCAAACAAAGGCATGGGCACGAGCGCGTTTTGGAAAGAGCCTCCTATACACGCTCGTGCAAGCAAAAGCATTATACTGAGATAGTATTTTTGTAAGATGGAGTATAGTTTTGTCCGTGACGCTAGGAAAATGCCTCTGCCTTTTGTCTTTTTTGCAGATGTTTGTAAGATGGAATATAATTTTGTCCTTGACGCTATGAAAATGATCAAGATAATGAGACAGGAAACAACGTTTTCTGTGCTTTTTATTACCACCTAAAGAATAAAAATATATATTTTTATGCAACTAATATTTTTGTTATTCTTTGGGGATAGGGTGATCGACTATTCCATGGGCTTCCAAATGCCGCCATTCACTTCCGGTAAGGTCGCTGGGTCCTCAGCAACATTGCAGGGTTCTACTTGCAGTCGTTCGTGAGCTGCGAGTTTGAGCATTAGCTCGGCAAGTATCTAAAAGCACAAAAAAAACACGTCATTCACTTTTGTTGATTATTCCAGAGTATATTTCCGGCATTTAGGCACCTCGTATTGGATCGCTTACATGATAATCAGGTGTCGATCAGCCGACACACTAATGGAGAACATGTTCTTCTGTACTCGATGATACGCAGATATTGGGAAGGTATGAAAGAAAACCAGAAAGAAAAATCTTCAATGCTTTTAAATTTAGGGCGAAGGGCGATGAATCTTGTATCAACCCGTCGCCAATCCTTTTATCAGATAAGGAGTTTGAATTCATCTCGCGAGAACTTTCACTCAGTTGACAGTAGCGCATCGTTTCGTCGAATTCTTTATTTTGTCCTTGTTGTTTGTTTGGTTTTTGGCGTTTTTTGAGTTCAAGATGTACCAACTAGTCCAATTACAAATTCTTTGACTCGTTGTTACCTCAAGTAGCGTAGTGAAAAAATTCCTGGTCCTCGCGGAGCATCCTTAATTTCTTTCTTTATGAAAATTACGATACATGTGGGTGCATTTTAGACTATATACATCTATATATATATGTCATCATATCAAGACGTACACGTTTCAAAAGCCTATAGCACTGCGCCTTCCTCCGACAACCAAATTTTTAAGGACCACATCGCGCGGCGCATGAACAATGCGCGAAACTTTTTTTAGGCAAAAACTTGTTAAATAAAAACAATGTGCGCTGTGAAACTGACAACTCTGAAACGTGAAGATCAGTGTCACAGTGCCGACAGTATTTTTAGGTGTAAACTTGTTATCAGCCTCGTCGCTCCCGGAGCTCCATTCGTCGATTGCGGCTACTGGCTTTCCCAAGTGTTCTGCAGAAAAGTTTGCGGCCCAGATTTATTAAGCTGGGTCCACACCGCTCATATGTCATTCAAAGGACAGTCTGCAAGCCCGAGTCACCGCAATATCCGTGGTTCAAATGCCGCGTGCCCGAGTTTCTCCTTAAACTCATTGCCACGCGGCATTCGAAGCGCGGATCTCGTGGTGACTCACATTCGAATCTGGCTGCAAAATGTCATTTGTATGTTGTATAGGGTCTACTCACTGGGCGGATATTTGAGGGTGTTGTTTACAGCCCATGCTCAGAGCGAACTCACAATAATAGGCTGCTAAAACCGGTATCCTGATGGTGTAAAATGCAGGGTACGAAGGAACGGGGAAGCTCGCCCTAGACCTGTTGCTCTCGGGCAGGGGGCACGAGCGCGTTTGCAAGAAGCCACCATGTTATTTTGGCTGCACCATCCACGTGATACGACCGCAAAATGGCACTTTACACTCTAAAGAAAACGGTGCGTCTACTTTCCCGCACAACACTCGGAGAGCTGATCACCGCAACCTTTGGAGGCAGCTCAGCGAATGACGATGCCGAAACACATGTTTAGACCAAAAAACGCACTCCGACTTGTAACATTGAGCAATGCAAAACTTCACGCATGAATTGCTTAATGTCACGACTCCGACTGCGTTTTATGGTATAAACATATGTTTCGGCATCGTCATTCGCTGAGCTGCCACCGGAAGTTGCGGTGATTGGCTCTTCGAGTGTTGTGCAAAAAAGTAGACGCAAGTCCTTTTTTTAGAGGGCATCTGGACATTTAAAAGCTAATGTAACTTTAATAAAAAAAAAAGAAAGATTACAATACAACCCTTCTAATCTCTTTGCTCAGTAGTAACGTGAAAGTACTACAGACGTTGACGGCTTAAGAAGCGCGGGGCTAGGTTATGCACATCTTTCGGAAGCCGGAGACGACGAACAACACGTCTCACTATATTTCCTCGGCCAATAAAAATGCTCCATTACCCAATAAGCACGCCAGAGAACCAATCAGAAAGCAAGAAGCGTGAACATAAAAAGCATCGCCTTGCGTTTATTAAGCCACCGGTGATTATATGACGGGCAAGTTCGCCTGCACCTTGCGAACCTTGTGCCTTTGTTTCCCCCGCCAAATGCGCCCACGCGCCTTTGTTTACCCCCAACCTTAACCAATGACGGCGCGAGCTTGACTGCCTCGTTATCGCGTGTTATATACGCGCTCTCTATATTGCCCTGTGATTGGCGTGCCTTTCATTACGTTCCAATGCGCTCAAGACGCAATTCCGAACACTTGCTCGCCGTATATTGTGCTTTAAAAATGTTAAGGAGATTTACCGAAATCGCCCTATAGTGTACCTCTTTTTTTAAAGGAGTTTTAAAGTTATCTCCGTAAAACACTTACCCCTTTGCTCTTTCCAGCAATGTTGACCATTTCACACGGGTCTTTTTCTATGTCAAATAAATAAACGTGGTCTTTGGCAGTCACTTCGTCTTCGGGTGCGTCGGTGTCACATTTTATAGACGCCTGTTCCCGCCATCCCGAGGGAACTTCCAAGGAAGTGGAGGAATGCAAGGCCCCCAGAACTTTGCTCGCCGCAGAACTTTTCATTAGGACATCCAGGTCTGTTCTCGGGTCGTGACCTTGCACCGTCTTAAAGCGCCCGTCGTACAAACTGTCGTTGAATGTCCCCACGATGAGTTTATATTTTCCCACGCGAATTCCCGATAAATTAAGCTTGGAATCTACGTTATGAACGATGTCTTTTCTGGGTGATGCATCTGCACGAGAAAGGGCATGCCACATGTTCACGCCATCTATGGAACCAAGTGTTGAAGGATCTCCACCTATTAAAAAAAATATATGCTTTTTAATAGATATGAATGGCGAATGAGGCTGGAAGTATGTATGGACCTAAAATAACAGCTAAAATAAGTGTGGTCTAAATATATTTTCAGAATTTAAAGGGTGTTGATGCTTATACACAAAATAATTAGAGATAAAAGACATTGGTGGCGGTTCTGCTTATGGTGTATGGTTATGGTTCAAGAAATACAAATATTCGTAAGAAGGAAAATTAATTTGCGCTGCCTATTCTTGAATTTTGCACAGAAAACTCTTTAACATAACCTGGTTTAAATGCGTAATCGTATATACAAAAGTATATTTAGCCTTGTGCATTCGATTACATTCCGCGTTCTGTGGAGAAACGTCGTGAAACAGTCTCGCCAACACTCCTGTATTTCTTTCAACAGTTCTCGAGGATGTCGCTGCGGCATTGCTGGGGGACCGTGATTCTACCGTGACGAGGCTCTACAGTGTCCATATCTACGCTTTCGATGACTTTCTTCAGGCCCCCGGGTCACATCAGCGGGGTATGCTTCAGCAGCACATGCTCGCTGGTCGCCGAGCCGAAAAAGAGGCCACGATAAAAGACAGCTTCATCGCAGAGAAGAACGCAGTCGGTGGCGAAGCGTTGTGATGCAATTTCGCCAACTCGCTTGTATTTCTTTTGATAGGTGAGACTACGGTTGAACCCTTGTTAGAATATGAACCCTCGCTAGCAGTCAGCGGCCGAAGTGTTGTGCCGTCAGTTGTTGCGTGATATGTGCAACATGAAAGGGTATGTTGCCTGTCTAAAAACGTTCACTAAAGAAGATAAATTTGTGCTGAGTGCAGAAATCTGGATATCACTTGGGTCAGTCTTGCGCTAGGGTTTCTAAAAACTTTTATGCATACATGGTACAGCAAACCCTGGGACGTGGTACTGAAAGACTTGCCCTACGTAAAATAACAGAAGCGGATATCAGAGTGGAACACTATTTTCGCTGAACAACTTGCAAGATGGTGCAACAGAAGTCACGGCTCAGCCTACGCCTTTTTGCCTAGGAACTTGATGCTCTGTTGGCCACGAGGGCAAACATTTGTATTGATAGACTTCTTTGAGTGCCTGCTAGAATCGATAAGCTTTTGACACTAAAGCCTAGGAGAGAGATATTAGATTCCCACATGCAAGTCCTGAAGAGCAAAGTGGGTGTACTCTCTGCAAAATACAATTCAGTTTCAGAAGGCCTATCCGAACACGGAAATAAGATCTAACGACTAGAAAACGAGCAACATGAGTTGAGTTAAACACATGTCCCGGCATGGCCATTCGCTGAGCTGCCTCCGTGAGTTGCGGTGATTGGCTCTCCGAGTGTTGAGCGGGAAAATAGGCGCACGGGCTTTTCTTAGAGCGGAATACGCTAGGTGTCCAACTGGCGCTAGGGTCTACGCGAGGTCCGTGATACAAATTGAAGCAGACAGCAACCAGCCTTCTTTTGCGGTCCTCCTGTACATTCCTATGGGGAAACGCGTGTGCGTTTTGTCTATCTGCCGGGGAATAACAGGAATCACCTCTGTTACTTGGGTCGTAGCGAAAAGTATGTAGTACCTTATTTATATCGCAAACATGTAATTACAGTTACTGCATTTTCCTTTCTCAGTGAACAATGTTAAACTTCGCTATATTTCAGGCCCAAACCTGTGTTCCACAGCAAGAGTGTAAAGACGAGCGACGAAGCTACGCAAACTAACAAATGAAAGGAATGTAAAGTGTGTCCAAGGTGCGTGCAACTTTACCAGCGCTTAAAGATCACTCAAAACGTAAAGAATGAGCTATGTGGGCGATGAAAGGTGTCTCTTTTTATTATTTCACATTTAGGGTAGCTTTTAATCGGGCACCTGTTTTTTTTTTCTCTTCTCTCTATTTTTTTTTTAACTTTCAAGCGTGCATATAATGTTTTGAACGCGAGAGCTAAAGATCTTCGTACAAATGCATCACCAAAAAGAATAAAACAAAACTTAATTTTTGCAAATCGGGCTTTAATTACGTGGCCAACTTTTTATTTTAACCGATCGTCTACGTGCACATGCAGTTACTGATCCAGTGTTACAGGTTACTTCTTGCAGTATCTCCTGATTTTACAGATACTGTTCGTTTGGCACGTTAATCCCCCCTGCAAAAAATCGCTGACGCCGTGTCCGCGCTAACAGTGTTTAACAATGCACAAAAAAAAAACAGGCATGAATCTATTATAGCCCTGTGTTTAATGCCATAAATTTGTAAGAAAAACACTCTAACTGACCCATGTTTTCGTTTACGTGATTGAGAAATGTTTCGAGCTCAGTGATAAAGGAGCATTTGACATTTTAGGGGTCAAATGATACTTAGCAAGCAAAATATTTGTCTGGAGCAGCCACTGACGCTTTTGGAACAGATGTCAATATCTGTTAACATATCACATAAAAATAAAAAAAATGATAGTATCGTTAAACGAGTTCACATTTGATGACTGAGAATTCTTTTTTGATACTGGAGCACATTGTTTATTACCTTTTTGCAATTAAAATAGACAAGGCGCAAAAAGACCACAAAGCCCACTTCTACGGAATAGGGCTCTGGTCAGAGCAGATTAACTTTACAATGGGTACTAAAATGGGTAAAACATGATTCATAGCGCAACTATTCAGTTGGGATAAAGCCTCTCTCCCCTCCCACAGTTACACCGGGTAGTTGTAGCACGTAAAACTTATTTCTGCAAAAATACAAAAAAAAAACGGCATATCCGCTAACAGGTCTATAAACAAATACGGCCTCCAAGTTTTATAAACCTGCCGAACACAATTCAAATATAATACACTTAAAAAAAAAAAACCACCACCAAATATTACGAATACCTAACCTACAATTGTGCATTAAAAGTGGCACGGCTCATTAGCAGTATTGAACCAGAGTTAAGTCAAAGTTCGCTGCTCTTTCGATCAACAGCTGCAGGCCTGTGATAGCACTGAGCATAATTTCCGAGCCTATCGCGCCAACCGAGGCGCTCGGCCATGTCAGCCGTCGTTTCACTCCGGTGCAAAGCGGTGAAGCTCGACGAGGGGGCTTCGGTGAGAGGCGGTACGGAGGCATGCGGCAGACATGATAATAAAGTCATCTCATCAGGAGTACAAGACCCTGGGTTCTGGTTTTGTATTAGCACAGTAGTCACCATCCTACTACAAGGCCGATGAAAATAACCCCTGGAAATCTCCAGGGATTATTTTCGTCATTCTTGTTCAGCTCGCTTGCACCTTTGCATTTAATCGCATTATAAAAATACTACAATACAATGTTTTCTGGCAACTTTTAGCTTCTGACATCGTCGACATTGTCTGTTGTTGAAAACTTCTTTATTCATAGTTAGAGAAGTCCTTGGGGTCTTGTATTTGGTCCAGTCGGGCGATGTTCCGGCAGGCACGGGTGAGGTGATATGCGTCCGCCCAAGTGACCCGCAGAAGGGACACTCGAGTTTGCACCTCGGCTGGGCCTTTAGGGTTACTCAAACAAGTCTTTGTACAGCCAGAAGAGTACACCCTTTGTGGAGGTATGCGGCCTGAATCTGAATTGTGTGTTGGGAAGAGAAGAGTTCTTCTCAATGTATCTTGTTAATCTCGAGTTGATGACCCTTTCAAAGACCTTCCCCATGCACTATGTTAGCAGAGATGGGGCGAAGGTTCTATATTCAGCTCTTTCTTCGGCTTGGGTATAAACCGCACTTCAGCCCTTTTCCACACGTCCGGCGCGATACCTTGGTCTATTAGCTGTCAAAATGTTGTACCAGTTCATTTAGGGCCCCCTCATCCATGTTTTATAGGCGCTTGGCCGTGATGGCGTCCGGATCCGGGGCAGCGGATTTCTTCATGTACTTCGTTGTACTCAGGCTGGGTGACGCCTGAGTTTAAGCAGGTGTATCTCTTGGCAAAGCTGTCTTATTTGGTCCTGCGATTCTTTGACCTTGTACACCAACTCCTTGAGACGATTGGTCGTGGCCGTTCTCGTCTTCTCCGGGTAGATGAGGGCGCGGAGAAGTTTCCATGTTTGGGCGAGTCCGAGGTTGCCCTGTGTGCTGCTGCAGACGTCATACGAGTTTGGCCTGCACAGGACAACAACGTACTCGTCGACGTTTGTGGTCAGTTCACCTATTTTCTTCTTGAGAGCTTTGTTGTAGCGTTGCCACCTCGAGCGTTTGGTGAGTGCTCGCCGGGACTCCCACAAGTGTAGAACATGCGGGTTCACCTCCGGGTCCTTCTCAGTGCGCTCCAGCTCCTTCTTGAGGGGTTCCGCGCTGTTAACCAAGTTTCTGGTGCAGTCTTCAATATTGTCGATGGTAGCCCGACGAGATGCCCCGGTGTTTTTACCACTTGTTGCAATCTACGATTTTAACCCTCCCAAATTTTCTTGCCTATCCAGTCTGGTGCACGGGCTTTTCCAGTATATTGTGATCGCTGCTCAGTTGTTCTCCAAGATTCTTTCATTTTGCGTCCCGTATGTTCTTGGTTAGCGTCAGGTCCGGGCAGCTGTCCCGGTAAGAGCTGGTTCCCACCCTCGTGTGGTGATCCGGGTCCGACAGTAACATGAGACACATGCCCGGTTGATAGCTTCCGCCAGTCATCTTCCCTTGGGCGTGATAAAGCTGTACCCCCAAGCCGAGTGGGCGGCATTGAGGTCCCCGGCAATAACGACCGGCTCCCTGTCTGCCCCCCGCACGGCTTCGGAGATCAGTTGCTGAATGTCGGTTCTTTGGTCCTTCGGGTTGCTGTAGACATTCATTGTGTGCAGTCCGCATCTCTTTCTGTTGGTGGGGGATCACCGTGAGAAACCAGTACGAACTCCCTTGGCTCTCCAGTTCCTGCTTAGCTGTCGAATACTATTTGTACACCAGGGTAGCCACGCATTGGTCCGATTCGTAGGTCACGTATTCCTTAATCTGTACGGTTTTCTTCCCAGGTTCCTGTAGTATGATCACCGCCGGAGGGTTGGCTT